GATCTTCACCCCGACTGTGAAAATCTAGACTGTGTCATCACCCCGACTATGAAAATCTAGATTGTATCTTCCCGCGTGTTAAATAAATCTAGACTGTGCTCTAGCGAATATATTGAAAATCGTGGTCTGCCTGCAAGATTAACAGTTTAGTGAGCACTAACGCGGCTACGAGCACGTTTAGTTTGAACGAAATGTGACACAAGGCAAAATTAGGCCTGAACGTGGGGAAACCCTATTCATTATTTTATCTGAATGGAACGATTTGCCGAGATAAATTTTTCCTAAATGCTACATACGACTTTGTGAGCTTAAAAAGTTGTTAATTTAATGAGTTCCTGAACTTAATTAGTTGTAAGCACAGCTACGTCCTGAACGGGACTAAATTCAGAGCTTTACTTGCGCCTTGAAGTAATTAAGTTCCAGAACGTAACATGGTTCTGAACTTGACCAAGTTCTAAACGCAGTCAAGTTAGCAGCATGATGCTGGTGCTGTGCTAGTTACGGCGCACTAGCATGATACTGGTGCTGTGCTAGTTACGCCGCACTAGCATGATACTGGTGCTGTGCTAGTTACGCCGCACTAGCATGATACTGGTGCTGTGCTAGTTATAGCTCACTAGCATGATACTGGTGCTGTGCTAGTTACAGCTCACTAGCATGACGCTGGTGCTGTGCTAGTTACGCTGCACTAGCATGATGCTGGTGCTGTGCTAGTTACGGCGCACTAGCATGATACTGGTGCTGTGCTAGTTACAGCTCACTAGCATGACGCTGGTGCTGTGCTAGCTACGGCGCACTAGCATGATGCTGGTGCTGTGCTAGTTACGCCGCACTAGCATGATGCTGGTGCTGTGCTAGTTACGATTGTTAAAATATGATTTATTTAAACCATACAAGCATAAATTACGATGAAGGTTTAACAGTAGAAAAAATAAAACTCAATACTCACTGCAGTGAGTGACAGAGAGCGCATTTTCTCGTTGACGAAAATGTGAAGTCACGGACGGAAAGACAGACAGACGGACGGACGGACATGACGAGCACAATAGCGCCTTTTTCCGAAAATGAGAAAATGCGCTAAAAACTGAGTATTTTTATATAAATTGATAAGTTAAGTGATTTCGACCATGTTAACATAGATACCAATACAACTAAGCCTGTACCTTTGTTCATGGTGACGTCGGCCGCCGCTCTAAAGAAGGAAAGTTTTGCCTCTCAAGTTACGATTACTTTGAAGGGATCGCTTGCTCTCGCATTCCCTCAACTAATTTATTTATTTATTTATGGATTGTAGAGACATTTTATTTTTGAGTGTAGGTCAAAAGAAAAGCAATCTGTCTGACAGGAAATCTAAATCATATTAGCTAAATCAAAGTAAAACTATTATTATTAAAAAAATATTTTTTTAATATTTGGCAGCCGATCGGTGATGCATCTAAATTTTTCGGCATTCTCTTGACTGACGCGAGCTATTATTTGTAGTATTATCAACAAATATTTCTACTTTAAATTATACAATTTTCAATTGTCCTCTGCGTTAGATAAATAATTAAAAGTTTTTTAACTGAAATGCTCATTTTTACTTATCTACGTATGAATTGTTATTTTTTTATTGAATATTTAATTTTAAAGCTATATTTTGCATAGAAACAAGTTTGAATTTTTCTCACACATAACACAAGATGCCTATTTTTAGCACTTATTTATTGTCCAGTGCAGAGGCAGCTTTAGTCAGACTTTGTTTGGGCTGATCAAAATTTGTCATTGTTTGGTCATCGATTCTCTTAGTCTACGGATAATACTCCTGATATTTCATTACTTTCTCATGTGTATTGCTGTGTTCCGTCGTATTGAACCCATACATTTTTTCGGAAGTAGGTGAGAACTTCAATCGTCATTTCATCTGCTTATGTGTGAGCTTAGAAAACCTCATTACCAAGATTTTGATTTCGCTACAATTTTCCAATAAAGTTCCTTTTATCAAACATGGAGATTCAAAAAATATAACTCAGTACTCACTGCAGTGAGTGACAGAGAGCGTATTTTCTTGTCACCGAAAACGTGAAGTCACGGACGGACAGACAGACGGACGGACATGGCGAGCACAATAGTGCATTTTTTTCCATAAATGAGAAAATGCGCTAAAAAGATGTTCGGATTTCATGATCTCAGATACGAATTAGTTGCTAATCCTTTCGACTCACGTTACTGACCCTGAATGGTTAAAAAGTGGCTGAATTTTTTTTTCCTTTGAGAAACGTTTAACTGAGCGCGACAAAGTTGCTTGAGCGTAAAGTTGAGCTCGACAAATATTTAGGATGCTGGGTCGATTTAGGATGCTGGCTGTTTAGGAAATGGGTATTTTGTCGAATGGTTAGTCCTGTTTTTAATTCATTGTTTCAATTAAGTTAAGTTATGAGGGTTAGCTCCTGAAATATCTCTATTTTTGGACATTTGACTGCCGCACTTGAGTTCCGCCGCAATACAAACGAATTTCAAGACAGGCCTATTCTTTGCAGCAGTATTTCGAATTTAGGATGTAATTAAAACTTGCTTATTCCTTGCAGCGACATTATTATTTTATTCAAATTAATAGCGGTATATTAAACTTGAATTTATATCATTTGATTGATAACTTCTCGTCCTACGTAAGCAACACTACAATTTTGTGATGAATGCCTTCCTGCATTTGTTTGACTCGAATGAATCGTTCGAACAACATCTGAACTGACATCTGTTTGGACACAATTGTCTATTTTTAACCTTTTGTGTTCTCTTGTGTTCAAGGCGTCAAGAAATGAACGAGAAATGTCGTGACGATTGATCTCTGTTTTGACGATGATCTTTGTCGTGACGATCGTTGATCGATGTCGGGACGGTCTCTGTCGTGACGATTGATCTCTATCGTAACGATCTATTACATACCAAATGTTATGTTATTCAAATAACCTCGATTCTGATAGTTCGTCTGACATTTTTTAATCGATGTTGCGTAAAGTTCGAAAGTTTGTTATAGTATTTATTGCATTAAAATATTTCTTATGATAAATCTCTTTATTCAATTGATATTTCAGTTGCACAAGTACATTTTCGAAGAATTGTTTTCATTTAGGTTTAAAAAACCTAAGTTCTTATTGATCAATTTCTCGACATTTTGGATTTTATCGACGTATTTATGATTTGGACACTTAAATCATAAATACGTCGACAAGACTAGTTTGGAAGTCTTAAAGCTCCTTTCACAATGTTTTGTTTTGATTTATAAAAGATTTCGATCCTTTATATATCATTTTTCAATGATTTCAATGATAAATTTCATCATTTATCGATGGTGGCGGCAACATTCCGCGGAAATCTCAAACGTAGTTTTTGTTGTCGGATATTGGAAGTTTGGCAAGATTTTAACGGACGGCAAGATGAAAGTTTACATTCCTTGAAATACGGACCGTTAGAGGGAGACTGTGTTTGGTCTGGGGAAAGCCTGAGACGCTGAGCAAAGACGGTAAAGCGATTCTTTGGCGAGCTTTTAAGGAACTGATCTAAACTTGTGGTTTTGCTAGACAAAAAAGATTTTTGTCTAATTCCTTGGTAACTCTGTCGCTTGGTGTTCTATCGATTATGTTGGATCAATTTAACAATTGGTTCTTTGCCCAGTGCCTATCCCAAAATTTCGAAGACCATACTTTTTAACATTAATTTCTAGAGATTAATCATGCCTTCCTCTTAAAATTTGAACATCCATAATTTATTTGTAACATTATCATCGTAAATATAACTTAGCCTTCTATTGAAACCGTCTGGTCTGACATGATCATTATTAATGGAATGTAATAGAATTTTTTCTCGCTGATGAGAGATTAGCTTCCGCTTGAAAACTCATCATTGGAGACGCACAATCTCTATCCATCCGCCTTAGTACCTGTATTATACAGCTACTCATACAGCAGGTAATTGAGTGGCCGCTATACACTCCTCATAGTTCACGCTACTCATACAGCAGGTAATTGAGTGGCCGCTATGCACTCCTCATAGTTCACGCTACTCATACAGCAGGTAATTGAGTGGCCGCTATACACTCCTCATAGTTCACGCTACTCATACAGCAGGCAATTGAGTGGCCGCTAAACACTCGTCATAGTTCACGCTACTCATACAGCAGGTAATTGAGTGGCCGCTAAACACTCCTCATAATTCACGCTACTCATACAGCAGGTAGTTTAGTAAAATATTCCAATTAATCAAATATTATTTATATACCGGGCAATATTTCGTCTAGCTTCCTAATAAAATAAAAACATTTGCACAACACAATTATATCATATTCTCCTGGTTTGCCCTTTTATAGATAAAGGCACCGCGGCATATACTTGACAAGATGAAGGCTTTGTCGATTTTTTGTAGTAACGTTTATGGTATTTTGAATTGATTAATTCAATGGAATTGGGTCTGGTTTGACTCTTAAATTAATTTTTAGGCTATAGTTAAGATAAATTAATACTCAGCGATTCACAGCATTTAATTAGTTAGTTGAGTTATGTGCGAATCATAGATTGATGGCTACTTAAAATTTTGGTGGTATTATTGGTTTTATTTTTTTGCTATTTATTTTTCTACCTATTTTTTGGTATTATAATAATAACTGAATTCATTGTACTATTTGCTTCTTGTTATTTTTGTATTATTTTATATTGTACAATATTTATAGTTTTGAATTGGGTTTCGTCTCTTTACACCGTGCTATGCCTAGCTTGGAATTTGAGGGGAGAAAATAAAAATTGTCTTTTTATTTATATAGTGTGAATAATTTTTTATGAATAAAATTGTGAAAATCCTACATTTGGTCCTTCATAATCACCCAACTGGTAGCAATATTTTCCTAATCGAAAGAATTTTTCCATCAGTTGGTTTAAATTTTCTGATTAATGTGTAATTTTTAATTAATTAATCAGTCTGATTAATTTAATTAATTAAATTAATTAATTAATTTAATTTTTATTTTCAGAGTACGAGTTGAATACTACGTGAACGAGAACACGTTGAAGGAGAGGCTGCATCTTTACTTCGTGAAGAACCAGAGATCCAGTGAGTTATTTCGCATGAAAACAAAACATTTTTTAATATATAATATAACATATTATTGATTCTAATATAAATTACAGTTAGGCAACAATAAATACATAATAGTATTTTCACATATATATGTTTTATCATTAATATTGCGTATGCACAGGAATAAAATATTCTAAAAAACATTTTGCGTTTTTCGTTGAATATTGACGTTTTTTAACATCTTTACTTCGTGAAGAACCAGAGATCCAGTGAGTTATTTCGCATGAAAACAAAACATTTTATTATTATATAATATAACATATTATTGATTCTAATATAAATTATGAACAATATCTATTTATATTATTACATACAGTATTGTAGATAAGTTACTATATCTGTAATTAATATATAATATAACATATTATTGATTCTAAGATAAATTACAGTTATGCAACAATAAATACATAATAGTATGTTCACATAAATACGTTTTATCATTAATATTGCGTATGCACTGTAATAAAATATTCTAAAAACATTTTGCGTTTTTCGTTGAATATTGACGTTTTTTAATGCTGGAGAAACTTGAACATGGAATTTTTGCAATGTTTTTTTATAATATATATTTGTTTTTATTATTAATACTCGTTCCTTAAAAACTCTATGTTCTAAAATTTGTATACTATTTACACATGCTTTTTATAATTTATACTATAAGAGTCGATTCAACACAACATCGAAGCTTGTGTGGCACTAGATGCTTTTTAATGACGTATTCTTCAGCAGAGAAAATTTATTCATTTAGCATTTAGAGATTAAAAGCTTGCTTAATTCGTTGGGTCACCGCTAATTTTTGTCATTGCAATTCATTTCGCTAATTTACTACAGTTGAATCCTGAATGCATTTCTTAGACTGCATTACTATACTGATTTGGAAGTAATCCTAATCATTTTTTTTAAAGGTCCATCTTTGATTTACGTCAAATTTTCGCCGGTCCTGAATTCGTTTTGAGATGTTCCAATTAAACTTGAATGCTTTTTTCTTTGTTCATAACTTAATTTTTCAAAATTTTGTAGCTTTTCTAACCCTTTGGGGCAAAATTGTTTCATATTCCGTAAAATTAACTTTCTTTTATGCTGACTTGTTTCATGATTGCAATTAACTGGCACCTTATGGGCTCGAACTTTAATTATATATTCATATGAATTAGTACAGTAATGTGGCATAATGAAATTTTTTCGTTTTTCGTTTGGTGGTAGAATTCTTCCCCCTTTTGTGCACCTCAAGAAAGTTTTTTGCACTTTTTCAAGTAGTATATCATAACAACAAAACGACCCCACCAGGCAAATGACTGGTAAGGAACGTTTAATTAACATTTATTCGACGCAAAACGTTTAATTTGACGTCAATTTATCGTCAGATGCTTGATGGGTCAGTTCATATTACAGTTCAAGGTTTTCGGCTATAAGGTATTAAATGTTCTCTATAAATGAACCTGGATGTATCCCTGTCCGGTAACAAAGGCTATGAAATATCTTCCCTACGATTTCATAGTTTTTCATATGCCTAATTACGTATAATTGCCGTTGTCCATACCGTTGAAATATTGATGCTGGTCACACGAACGCTATCTGAGCTCGTATTGACAATGAGATCAATAAAGCGATTAATATTGCAACTTCTTCAAGAAAAACTCTTGCTGCTCAATATTAACGCACTTTAATTGTAAAATTGCGATCATTGAAAAATGATTGTATAAAAAAAATGGAATCATTGTTTTCATTATTATCGAATAAATTTTCACTTTGGACATTTCTGCCAGCTCAATTCATTTTACATTTCTTCATTCGTAACTTCAATTCTTTTGAAACTGATATTTTTTGAACCTCACTTCTTCGACATACATCAAATGTAATAATTTTAAATCTACAAACGATATATGAAAAATGTATTATTAAACATTTGTATTAAATCTCCAAATGATGTATCTGCAAACGATGTATGAAAATTTCAACTTTAGAAATTTCCCATGAAAGCAAACCCTGTAGACGTAAAGTACGTTGATTTTCATTGCGTTAGCTTGTGACGTTTGGCCATGACGTAGATACTTCCAACCTCCCACGGGAGCGACGAATCGATCCTGTCTTGTTATCGGGCTATCACGATAGCGGTTCTGTGTTCATATGTCAGATCTGAGGTCTATAATGCACTCATTATAGTGATATGTTTATGAGAAGGTTCGATTTCTGCAGGTCAGCTGGCAATTTTTATTTCGGTTTTAAGTAAATCATACGGGGTAACAGTTATCCCTGAATTAAATTTATCGGTTACGAATTTTTTTTAGATTCAATTTATCGGTTCACGAATTTCTTAGCCTGTGATGCATCGAACTGTCCTTAATGGCTTAAGATTTACATTTATTTCAATTTTAAACATTTTATATTAAGATTTCACAAAAAAATGCTAGAAATGTAATAACAAATATTAATATCCATATATTAAAAACTAAAATTCATTAGTAAAAACTCACTTCCTATATTAATATACATAATGTATTTGATCCATGACTTCCCCTTTTCTTTTCACGTATAAAATATTATGATTTAATCATATTTTCATCAGATCACAAGAGTTTTAGTTAAATTTTAGAAGTCAATATAGGCTTTGTACCGAATTAATGATTATTTGCCGTTGACCATATACGCAAATAATATAACTGCATATTTACCGTTGTATTATTTGCCGTTGTGTTGATCATCTTCTTGTTATACACTGTCGACGTATTGCGCATAATTGATTCAAATAGTTTGAATCGGAATATGTTCGCCGACGACACCTAAATTTATGGCTGCGGTGCACCGGCTGACGCTGCAGCGTTGCAGGACCGGGGCCAATACTTTAAAAAAAAAGTTAAGAGATCGTAAGTTCATCAGCCAATAAGTATAGGCCTAGGGGCCAATACTTTCAAAAAAAGTTAAGAGATCGTAAGTTCATCAGCCAATCATTGACGGCCTTTCAAGCCAAATCCACCAATCACAGACAAGAAAATAGAGCGTAAGTACTTACGTTCGCTTAGCGAATTTTGAAAGTATGCAGATGTCTGTCTGCAGAAACGCCGTCTCAGGCTGGATGCGCTGCAACCGGCTCCAGCTCAATGCATCAAAACCGACTTCATTTGGTTAGCGGATGCTCGGCACCAGCATCAGCTTCCGGCTAACGCTATTCGCGTAGGCAACGAGTTCGTTGAGCTTGCGTCTTCGGTTCGCAACCTCGGCATTCTGCTGGACTCTGAGCTTCCTATGAACAATCATGTAGCCAAAGTCACCACTGCTTTTTTTGGCGCTCCGCGACGAATACGTAGTGTCAGCCGCTGTCTCTCTCGGCCAGTCCTCGAGGCCCTCGTTGTGGCGCTCGTTCTGACCCGATTGGACAATGGAAATGCCACACCCTTTGAACCGACCACGGCTCAAAATGAACTGCAATCTATAATGAACGCTGCTGCGCGAGTCGTGTACAATTCGCGAAAATTCGACCACGTGACGCCGATAATGCGCGATCTTCACTGGCTGCGCATGCAGCAGCGCACGCAGTTCAAGGTCGCTGTTTTGACGTTCCAATGCCTTCACGTCTGGCGCCTTTTATCTCACGGAATGTCTGCAGCGCGGGTCGGGTCTGCCTTCTAGAAGACGACTGCGTTCGTCATCAACAGCGGACCTCGTCGTTTCATCTACGGCGGTGACCGGGAACGCTCGTTCCATCTACACCGTCGGCGACAGAGCGTTCCCGGTCGCCGCCGCCTGAACCGGGAACAGTCTGCCGGCTTCCGTAATATCGGCTGTTGCAGGTGTTTCTTCGACGCCTAAAGATGAAACTATTTCGCAGAGCTTAAAAATCAAGTGCTTTATCTTTTTTGTCCGTTCATATCTTTTCCCGCGTCTATTTATTTTTCGCTTGCTGTTAAACTTATGTGTAACGTTCCCTCCAAGTTCATTTGAACCAGACGCCACGATAACTGTTTCGTAGAATAATAATAATAATGATAATTATTCACATTCGTTTGGTCATATATATCTGCTCATTGCTTATGCATATGCTTATTCAATGCAATAGGTCATTGAATCCGAGATCTTGGTCCTCTTCATCAGTTTGTTTTCTAGTAAGTTCTGTTCCATCGCTCCCATTATGATGGAAGCCTCTGTGTATCGTGGCAATCGATAGTTCCTTCACTTTCACTCCCACTCTCGGTTGAGGCTCTCGTGTAATATACACAAAACAGCTGCTAACCGCCATAAGAGGACTTTGTGAGATCTCACAGAAGCAAACAGTGATGGTTAGAACTCCGTGAGGTGAACAGCGCTACTTTGCTCGTACTATTAGTTTCTAAATTTATGGTAATACTGTTACGCTCATTAATAGATACAAAAAACAGTTAACTACCATTAGAGGACTTAGTGAGAACTCACAGGAGCAAGCAGTGAAGGTTCGAAGTCCGAGAAATGAACACCGCTCCTATGCGCGTTCAGTTAGTTCATGAATTTATGATGATACTTAAGTGCTCATTTAATTTACACTAACAGGGAACTGTGTGCCATAAGGGCCACAGTTCCCGCCATAAGGGAACTGTATGAGAACTCACAAGAGCAAGCAGTAATGGTTCAAATTCTGTGAGATGAACACCGAACCCCTATATTTTGCGCGTGCCGGAAGTCCATTAGTGTAATTTGATTATACTGAAAAATTTTGTGGTTATCTGCAACTTACTCATAGAAATGATAGCTTTAAGAGTCTTTAGACTATTTTGTGCTTTATTCTCAAAATTGGCGATGGTGATAATTGCAGACGTTTCTTGGATTCGTTTGTTTAAATTATGTTCCTTAATTATTCAAGTACAGCGTAAAATTCTTTACCGTTGAGATTTTAGAGAGAATTCTATTAAGAAATTATTAGAATATTTATTCCCGCCTAAATTTAAGGGATGCGACGATAATTTCGAATAATAAATCTTGTTTTCGGGAACAGGAAAGGAATG